TGGTGCAAGGGAAACTAGATGTCCAAAGGCATAAGAAAGAAACCAGATCCCTATCTCTCATCATATACAAAAGTCAACTCAAAATGGATTAAAGGCTTAAATAAATGCAAGACCCTAAACTACAAAAGCACTAGAAGAAAAATGGGCAAATGACCTGAATGGATGTTGTTAAGGCTTATATCTATATGTTTCCCAAAAGCCTCATGTGCTCACAGTTGGGGCTTTTGGGAGGTGGCTGGATCATGAGTTCATGATGCTGGATTAAGGGTGTGATAACTGGGGTAGTACCCTAATTGGATTAGCATGGTCCTGGGTGTGACTGAATGGATTTACCGAAGAGGGAAACTGCATCCTAAATGTGGATGGCACCAACCAATAGGCTTGTAGCCTGGATGGAATATAAAGAGACATAAAGAAGGCAGGCTTGCTGCTCTTTCTGCCTGCCTTGCCATGGACTATCTCTGCTCTGCCATGCTCCACTGACGTGCTGCCCTCCCTTGAAACCAGCCGACTGTGGACTGAAACCGTTACAAACTGTGAGCCAGAATAAACCTCTCCTCCTTTGACTTGTGGGTGTTGAGTATTTTGTTCCAGCAACAAGGAAGTAACTAAGACAGGTATTTCTCAAAAAAGTTAATACAGATAGCCAAAAAATGAATAAAAAACACTAAAAATTAATTATCAGGGAAATGCAAATCAAACCTAAAATGGGATATCATCTCACCTCAGTTAGAAAGGTTAAAAAAAGATAAAAAATAATAAATGCAGATGAAGATGAAAGGCAAACTCTCATATGTGGTTGGTGGGAATGTAAATGACTACAGCCATTATGGAAAACAAGGTGGAAATTCTTTAGAAACTAGAAAGATGACTCCCCTATGACTCAGTAAATTCATTGATGGGTTTCTATTTATTTATTTATTTATTTGGTACCGGGGATTGAACTCGGGTCCTTGGGCTTGCGAAGCAGGCGGCAAAACCACTGAGCTAAATCCCCAGCCAGATGGGTTTCTATTTAAAGTAATTGAAATCAGTATGTCAAAGAGGCATCTAGACTTTCACATTTACTGCAGTGCTATTCACAGGATAAGGAGGGCTGGGGAGCAGCCTGTGATAGAACAAAAACTTGCCTCTCATGTGCTAGGCCCTGGGTTAATCCCCCATATCACAAACCATGTCATCATCATCATCATCAACAACAACAAAACGAAGATAAGTATCTATCAGTGGATTGTGGATCAAGAAGAAAGTGGTACATGTATGTAAGTGTCTTCGTTACTTTTCTCATTGCTGAGACAATATACCTGAGACCCAAAGTTAAGGAGGAAAGGTTTATTTGGCTCACAGTGTGTAGACGTTTCAGGTCATAGTTGGCTGGCTCCAAGGCAGGGTGGCATGGCAGAGGGGCATCTCAGGGGAGAAACAGTTCATGGTGGGCAGAAGGCAGCAAAGCAGTGAAGTAGCAAAGAAGTAGCAAGTGGCAAGGAACAACAGTAGCCCTCTTCCTGTCCCTTATATTCTATCCAGGCTACCCACACTTAGCACTCACACCCAGGGAAGACCTTCCCATTATCCATACAAAGAACTATGCCATACCAATCAGTGAACTGATTTAGTAATCATACCCTTGACCCCAGCATCACACATTGTAGATCCAACCAGCTATGACCACATGATGCTTTGGGTGGAGATCTAGACACAAGCCATAAAAGTAAGAGAATGCTATTCATCCACAGAAAGAATGAAATTCTGACATTTGTAGCACCATGATGGATGGAACCAGAGGACATTATGTTAAGCAAAATAAGTCAGGCACAGAAAGACAAATACTACATGTTCTCACTTATATGTGGAAGCTAAAATGTTAACCTAAAAAGAGCAGAGAATAGAACAGAGGGCACCAGAGAGAGGATGGTTAACGGGTACAGAGGTGCAGTTGGATAGGAGAGATACCTTGTTCTGTGGACTGGGGATTGAACCCAGGACCTTCCCATTGAGCTACATGTTGGTCCTTTTTAAAAATGTCATTTTGAGACAGGGTCTCACTAAATTGTGAAGTTGTCCAGGCTGGACTTGAATTTGTGACCCTGCTGCTTCAGCCTTCCAGAATGCTGGGATTTCAGTGTATGCCACCATACCCAGGTAGGAGGGAGGGATAATTTAGAATGTTCTGTAGCATAGTAGGATGACTATGGTTTGTTTGTGTCTTTTGGTACTGGGGATCGAACTTGGGACCTTGTGCTTGTAAGGCAGGTGGCAGAACCACCGAGTTAAATCCCCGGGCCAGGATGACTATGGTTGACCACAATTAATTAAATATTTCAAAAGAGCTAGTAGGGAGGATATTGGATGTTCACAACACACAGAAGAGATTTGTGTCTGAGGTGTCAGAGACGCCAGTTCCTGCACTGGGATCATTATACAGTGCATGTGTACTGAAACGACACTGTACCCCACAAAAGTACCATTACTATGTGTCCATTACAAAGTTTTAAAAGGAGACAGAGTTATCCCCTGAGCTGGAGGCAGGTGGTAAATACCTCGGGGTCAGGCACCCCTTCTGGAATGTCCCCCATTCCACCTTTGGGAAAAGTCCCCTGCTGGCGGCTTCCTCTGGGACAGAGGCCCTCAGCCCTGACTGGTGAGGATGCGCTCTGAGTATTTAGACATCTGTCCAGCAGGGGGAGCCACGCCTCCAGGAACGTCGGAGCCCGTGGAAACCTCAACCTCTGGTGCGGTGTGGATTTGCGGGCACCAGGTGGAAACCCTCTACCCCAGAGAGGGCGCCGTTGAAGCACGATGTTTGATCACAATGTCTTCGTGTTAGAAAAGTAGCACACATCCCAGCACTCTGGGAAGCTGAGGAAGGATTCAAGGCCGCAAGTTCGAGGCCAGCCTGGGCAACTTAGTGAGACCCTGACAAATAAATTAATTAAAAATTAAAACGGACAAATTAATTAAAAATTTAAAAAAGGGTTAGGGATGTATCTCAGTGCAAAGGCCCTGAGTTTAATCCCTAGTACCAGAAAAAAAGCTACTTGACTGTCAAGTAAAAAAAAACTTTTAAGTCTATTTTAGAGTAAGAAGAATTGCAGAATAAATACAAGAATTTATCAGTTGGAATCTGGTCAGAATCTGAATCAGGATTTTTGGTTTAGAGAGCTGTGAACCACGCCAGGCAGAGAGAACCCAGAAGATCTCAGGGTGGTGGACATGGGCAGGGCCACCCGGGCTATTTCCGGGTCACAGTGGGATGGCTGCTCCCCTCTTTGCAGTCCCGTGGGGCTTGGGAGTGTGCTGGGCTGCAGTAGCCGAGCTGGGGGCTCTCTGTCTCAGGAGGAGGTCGCTGAGGCTGTGGGGCAGCCTGCTTTGGGGTAACACGCTGTTATCCTTAGGTGACTTCCCACCCCTGTGGCTGGCAGCTGAGCCTGTCATTCAGCAGGCAACCTGTCCTCCTCTCTACCCAGGGCCACCATACCATCTGCCCCAAGCCCAGTGGCCTAAGCCACACATGTGCAGCCCTGGGGAAGCCAGGATTGTCCTGAGAGGTGGGCCTGGCCCGGGGTGGGGTAGGCTGTTCTGACATTGCCCAGGCACTGGTTCGGCCAGGACGTTGGCAGGCCGGAAGCTCAGGTGCCCTGTCAACTCCAGGGCTGTCCCCTGTGACCTCTCCTGGTACAGGAAGATGCCAGCTCCTTGGCATTCCTAGAACTTGATTCTGCTGTGTTTGAGGGTCACAGGGACCAGAGATGCTGTTCCAGGAGGAGGCTGGGAGTCAAGCTCTGGATGGGGGAGGAGTGTGAGCCAGTGATGACCTTGACCCCCACCCAAGGTCAGCTCCTCTGCCAAGGTGCTCTCTTCCCACTGGCAGTGCTACCTCCCAGCTCTGCTGCCACCCAGACCCTCACCTATGACCCCACCCTATGAATGGGCTGCCCCAGGTGGCACTGGTCCTGACTGTCCTCAGCTAGGACCAGGTCACCCACACTTCCCCATGGGGTCCCAGTGGCAAACATGGGGTGTTGTGCAGAATGGGAGGAGGAGAGGACAAAGAAGGGGTGGAGGAGTAGGTGGGGGCAGCGGGGTGGCCCCTCTGCTTGGAAGGCAGTGGGGCTGATGTCTCCATCGCTCTGCCCTTATTGCCCTGTGGCAGGAGCCCCTTGGAGGCCATGGGACAGAGGTGAGGCTGACAGCGTGCCAGGGACACAGGCTGCTCAGTGGAGCTGGGGTGCTGAAGTCCCCAGGCAGAGCAGGGAGGGGCATCCCCATCCTGGCAGGCTGGCAGGCTGGTGTTTGTCCTTGTACCCTGGTCAGGGCTGAGCCATGGCCCCAGGCTGGTGAGGGCCTCGAGGTGCCGCTGGCCCTTTCCACCTGGTGACCCCATCTCCTGACCCGGCCAGCAGGCTGCCCGCAGAGCCTGGCCTCAGCTTCTCCACGTCTGTCGCCCCCAGCACATGGGGTCTGGTCCTGGACTCTCGGGTGGTGCAGGGGCTGGGCCAGCCTGTTTCCTGATGCGGGGTGGAAGGCCTGGGTCATTCCTGCCCGCCCCCGTCCTCTCAGGCAGAAGGTGAGATGACTGATGGGCTTTTTCCTTTGCAGCACTGAAGACTGAACCCAGAGTCTCCTGCAACCCGCCCCCCTCAGCTGCCTCCCAGTCTGATCTGACCCCGCAGACTGCCCCCAGTTCGTCCTCTGCCTGAGCTGCAGCCTCCCCATCCGACCCCTGTGGGCCTCCAGTCCACACTCTACTCTCACTCCAGGCTCAGAGCGTCCCCACTGGAGCAGGCTGGGAACTGCCAGGCTGCACCAGGGGTCAGGACCTCCTTGGGAGGGTGGGGGCGTGGCCTGGAAATGACAGGGTGTAGCTTAGGGAGGGAGGCGGGGTCTGGGGAACGGGGCGTGGTCTGGAGGGAATGGACGTGTCCAGGGCGGGACTGGGGAGGGAGCCGGGAGGATGGGCATGGTGTGGGCGTGGCCTCAGCGGGCCCCTCCCCTCCCCGGCTGGCTCCGCCCTATTCCCCGGTCCTCCCTGCCTCTCCCGCGCAGACCCGTTCGATCTCGGCACAGCGCGCCTGCGGATACGCAGACCGCCGGGCCATGGAGACGCGGGAGCGGCGGCCGCAGCTCCTCTGGCTGCTGCTGCTCTGCGGTAAGGGGGCGTCGGCCAACCGGGGAGCCCCGACCCCTGGGGGTCTGCGCCTTCCTCGGAGCTGGGGAAGGGCGCGCAGTGACTCGGGGAGCAGAGGGATGTGCAGGGGTCCCGGTGGCTGCGGTGCAGGCCTGGGGTCTGCAGTCCCGCCCCTGCCTGGGGAGAGGTCTGAGGAGGTGATGAGAGCTCCGTGCAGGCCAGGGGCGCGCGCACACTGCGCAGGCGACGGTGGGGGAGACCCCCCAGTGGGTGGCCTTGGTCTTTCTGAGCCCTGGGGGGGAATCATTGCTCACAGAATGGGAAAAGCTTGTTTCGAAAAATCTCGCTAAGAAATTATCCAAGAATAACAGGATGCGTGTGTGTGTGTGTGTACAACTGTACATGTATGTGGACGTGCGCGTGTGTGCGTGGGTGTGCGTGTGTGTAAGGGCTTTTACAGGAGAGCGCTTGCCAAGGGCTGGGGGTCGCTGGGCACGGCCTGGGGCTGGCCGGCTCTGGGCTCTGGACAGGTGACGGGCCTCGCCTGGGTATCAGACTCAGGGTCCGTCCTCCAGGGCCACTGCCCCCTGGTCCTGGAGGACAGCTCCCTTTCCGGCCCCAGCCTCCCTGGCTGCGAGGCATTTGCAGTGTCTTAGTCAGCTTTGCTGATGGGGATTCGGTAAACAAGGTGGGAAAGGTGAGCCAGACGTGGTGGTGACATCCCTTCCTTTGCAGGGCTCTCTGGGCAGTGCGTGGCTTTATGCCATGTTTTCCAGAGCCTCAGGTGGGGTGGGCTTTTAGGACACGTGACTGCTTCCAGAAATCCGTGTCCTGCCTTTGGATTTCAGCAAGTGCCTCCCATGAAGGCCCCTCTGACAGGCTATGGCCTTCCTAGCGACAAGAGAGACCGGAGTCCCTGCTGATGGTGCCCGGGCACCCACGACTGTCCCCAGCAAGGGTTAGGAAAGGACCACAGGCGGAAGCCACACAGCACCCTCTGTAGTGCTCCTGGGGCCACCTCCTTGACCTCTTTTGGTGGTCCTCATTGTCCCCTGACCCAGGAGCTGGGCTCCTTAGTGGGAGTCAGGTGCAGCCTCCTGCAGACCTACCTGGTGTTTGCTTGGCCAGAGCACAAGTCAGACGAGCTCACAGTCACATGCAGTTTGCTGAGCAGCATGGAGCCCGGACTTCCTCTGGAAGGAGGAGCTAAGCTGCCCAGCTCCCAGGCACGGTGGCCATCTGTGCTCTGGGTCCTCAGCTGCCTTCAGAATGGGGCCTGGCTGCTGAAGGGAGCAGAGCCAGCAGCAGTGGTTCCTCCTGACCAGTTCCAACCCAGGAGGGTGCTGGCCTGCAGGGCTACTTTGAGAATTGTAAAGCATTTCTCAGGAGGCACCTGGCGTGGTGCAGGGCCGTGGAGCAGGGACTCTGGCAGGTGTCCACTCAGCAAGAAGCTGCCATGGGTGAAGCTCTTGCCCAGATCTTTTTGGTATGGGTGAGAATCAATCATAATCTTAAGATCAGCAAAATCTGGCCTCTAGCCTCAGTTTCCCCAACTGCAGTGTAGACGCAGCTCTAGCCATCTGGAGAGGGCCGCTGTGAATCAGTCTGATTCATTTCTGCTCAGCCCCCCATCTGGTACTGGGTGTGGGACTCATGTGTGTGGCAGGTGGGGCTCACCAGGCCCACAGCATCTCCTGCGTGTGAACAGGTGCTGTCATTTTGACAATGAGCGGAAGTGGTGATGCCCTGCTACCATGTCATCTGTGGTCACTCTGATCACCAATGTTGTCTTGTTGCTCACTGGTGGACCCAAGGGCAGGGTGGAGTGGCAAGTAGCTCTGGGACTTAGAGTCCAGAAGGAAGTGGCTTTTCAAGCTCAGGGATGGCCTTGTAGGTCATCTGCACCGACTCATCATTTTACAGATAAGGAAACTGAGGCAGAGGGGCAGGGAGGGAGTTACCAAGGGAAGGGACCCACTGTGGCCTGCTGTAGCTACCCAACATTCTGGGGTCTGGTGGCTGTGCGTTTCCTTCCCGGAGGATGAGGCACTTGGGTTCATGTTCGAGACAGTCTCCAAAGGTCTTTCGGAAATGGATGTGTTTGGCTGTTTATCATCTCTGAGCGTGTGGAAGGCCTCGGGACAAAAGACGCGCATGCCTGTTTGTTCTTTGTTTCCTGGTGGAACTGACCAAAATGGATTTCTATTTCAGTTCAGTTCCTGAGAACTTCACAGATGCATCCAGGAGCTCGGGTGGCAGTCACCCGCTTTCTGTTTGTATTCCGGGGCTGTCTCCACCCCTTCGGTGTTCTGTGGGTAGCACCACAGTGCCTGCCTGCCCTGCACCAGCCTCAGGCACTGTCACAGGCCCTCCTTGGTCAGGGAAGTTACGCATGAGGCTGGGTGTGCGGCTTCCATGGCACAGTCACCACTGCCTGGGCCAGGACCCTGCTGCCCTGGGAATGCAGGGTTCAAGGGCACAGGGCACCTGGGGCATGCAGAGATTCTGGGGGACACAGATTCTGCCTTCTTTGGAGGTGTGTAGAGATTCAGGGCGCAGCACAGTGGGTCTCCCATCCTCCTTAGAGAGCTGGGCCCACAGAGGTAAAGCTGTGGCAGAGGGTCCTTCCTTGGCATGGGGGGAGGGTGGGTCAGCTCTTCCAGAGGAGACCAAGGGCTCGGAGGGAGTGACAGTCCCAGGGACTGGTAGTCACAGGACCTGTCCTGGGGGCTGTTTTAGAACTTCACAGTTAACGTGAAGAGGCATCAGAGGTGGACCTGCATGGGGGAGATGAGCTGCTAGGAATAGCCGTGACAGACACCTCCGGGGTTGGGGCTGCACGCTGTCACTAACGTCATCTGGCCTACATGGACCAGGGCTGCCTTCCCACCATGGGGGTGTGGCTGAGCAGCATTCCGATGGGGCCTGGGCAGGGCCCTAGGGTCAGATGCCTGGGGACATGGCATCCCCGGAGCCTGTCGGTCAGCGCCCTGGCCTGCTCCAGGCCTGTGGGAGTGTCATCTGCACCGCCGAGGTGCACATCTGAGTGGAGATGCCTGGTCCTCAGTCTCTTGCTCCCAGCGGGGCTTCACACTGTCATGGATTAGAGAACAGGAGTTCCTAGGTCTCCACCCAGAGACTCTCCCACAGTGGGCTGGGCTGTGGCCCGCGGGGCTGGTGTGCAGCCTGGTCCCCACTTTCTTCTGCCTTACACAGTTGCCCTGGGAGACAGCAGAGCCCACAGGGGCTGGGGATGGAGCCCCAGCCTTGGGGTTCCAGGTGGACTGCGGAAGGGCGGTCCCCACTTGTCAGAGGAGAGGCTTCCTTCTGCCCCAAAGGCTTTCATTATAATTGTCACTTCCTTCAAACAGACCTGGAGCCAGCTGGGAATGCACAGAGGGGACAGCCAGTCCCTGGAGTCTGGGGAGGGGATTGGCAAGGGGGACAGTCAGGCTGTGAAGGGAATGGGCCAGTGCCCAGTGGAATGAAGCCTCAGAAGAGATTTTGTAGGGACACCATTATTAACTGATGAAAAACACCCATAATCAGAATATTTTCATTTTTGAACTAATTTTATACTAGATGCTTTGAAGTTTTTCTCTGCTAAGCCCAACATTTGGAGCTTCTCAAAGGTGACTTTTGTCTCCTGCTCTCTCTCCTATTTCTTTCAATGTTTAATATTTTTAAACACTGTGAAAATTTAGGATAATCTATTGCAGCAACTCTGGGTACTGATCCTCCCCTGGTGCTTGTTGTGTTATCTGTTAAGGTGCCTGGCTGAACTTGTAAGTTTGCGAAGCCTGTTTCCTCCTTAGTGTACAAGGAGTGTTTGAAAAATATGGTGAAAGTTTAACCTTTAAAAAATTATTATAGAAATAAAAGAAGGGAAAGGAATAAATATGAGAAAAGGAAAAAAATGGAAACAAAGTCATTGTAAATAGGGAGGGGTGGAGGTGTTGAAGGGAGGGCAGGGGAATGGGGAAAAAAATAAGAACTAAGATATATTATGTAAAGATACAAATCCCCAATAATGAATGTCAACATATTGTATACCTAAAATGTACCAATAAAATTAATGAATTAAAAAATTATTACAGTAAAACATGCATTGCCATTAATTCCCCCCCAAATCCTCCCCCTTGCTTTGAACACACTGATCCCATTATTCTTGTCACTTTCTGAAGCAGGTCTGGAAGTCCTCTTTCCTGAGTGTCTTTATAAGGAGGGATTAAAAAAATATAGTGAATGCTGTTGTTGAGTGCCATCCATCAGAAAGGCAGTGCATAAAAATACTACAGTGTGTCCTCATCCACCTTATCCACCAGCTCTGGCACTGTGCCACGTCTGGCTCTTCCCTCAAATTAAAATGACCATGAAAGGGAAACATTTTGAATGGATTTGGGACATCAAGGCAGCCACAGCAGCACAACTAACGACGCTCAGGAAAGAGGATTTCACAGCTGCTGCAGAAAGTGGCAAGAGCCATGGGATGTGTTCAAAGTGACAGGGCCTAATGGCAATGTGTCTTCTACTGCAATAAAAAATTCAATTTGAACAAACACATGCTGTATTTTTCAATCATGCCTCATATAGTCTATAAGGTCCCCGGTTATATATATTTTTTTCCCTTAAAAAGACTTGTGGGTGAGATTCCTAGGATTGGTACAGGCCCTTTGGTGGTCAAAGGTTGGGCTCCAGCCCCCTTGGCCAGACAGGTTTCCACCTTTTACCGTTGGCTGGGTGTGTATGTTGCAGACTTATTTCACAGTCTAAGGAGATTGTCCTTTTGGAAGGAGCATTGCCAGCGGCTAGGACCTCTTTGGTCATTCTGGAGGAGCAGGTCTGACAGGGCAGCGGGGAGGACCACCGTTGAGTTTTAAGCAAGTCTTCTTAGGATTGTGCCCTGGAGCAGGGCGGCTTGTGGGTGGCTGATGCCCCAGCTGGAAGCTGTGCTCCAGCCTGTGAGCTGAGCCCCACCTCAGCTGTTGGGTCCGAGTGTGGCGTGGGGAGCCCTGGGCCCCGCATCCTGCCTTTTGGTGTGGGCAGCATCCTGAAGGCTGTGTCCTCGGCCCCCCAACTGCGGGTTTCTATGAGGGCTGCAATCCCGGTGCCTGCCTCCAGGGGGCGCTTGGTTCTGCTTCTGCTGGCCCTGTCCATGGTCATTTTAAGCCCAAACGCAACCTGGGTTTCTCAGGTAAGGAGAACTTAGGCGGTGAGTTCTTGAGGAGCTCAGCCTGCACTGACTGACTTGGGATCCTCTGCCCTGCCCAGTGTCTTTCTGTCTGTCCTCCCGCTGGCGAGGGTGTGGTTATTTCTGGCTCATTTCCTGCCAAATGTCTGTTTACCCAGCACCTTTCATCATGTCACTGCCTTGGGGTTCGTCTGCCCTGTGTTGTCCCCTGGCTCCCAGCCCAGCGACCCCGTAGCTCTGGGCTCCCATCCACCTGGTCTCTGGCTGGTTAGCTCCTTGCCATCCTCGTCTTGATGATTTGATGAGTTTATTATTTGCATTTTGTCCTGGGCTTTCAGTTGTTTTCCGTAGAAAGTAGGTCCATGTTTCTGCCTTATGCCTGAACGTGGAAGTAGATCTACTTGTCTCCTTTATACTCATCTAGTGAGGCTTCTATACACTTTAAAAAAACCTGGATGTGGTGGTGCACACCTGTAATCCCAGCACTCTGGGAGGCTGATGCAGGAGGATTGCAAGTTTGAGCTGAGCCTGGGCAACTTAGCAAGACCCTGTCTCAAAATAAAAATAAATAAAAGGGGATATAGATTGTTGTGAAGGCCCTAGGTTTAATCCCCACAACTGCAAGGGAAACAAAAATAAGAAAGAATTAAACACTTGTATACCAGCTGCAGAAGGCAGCTGTCAGAGCTGTGGGGTGGGACCAGGCGTCAGGGCCCAGGCTGCACTGAGAACCTGTGGGGTTCTGGGTAAGTGGCATGGCCTCGGTGGCCTTGTTTTTATGAAGGGCAGGGTGCACACCTAGGGGGTGTCTCCTGGGAGACAGGAGGCCGGCTGGCCTGTGGGGGACATCGGCCACAGGGGTTGCTGAGGTCCCGCTCTGGCTGTCCCCTCCGCAGGCACGTGTGCCCGCGTGTGCTGCTGCAACGAGACCCGGATGCTGGAGAGGCTGCCCCGCTGCGGCAAGACCTTCGCTGAGAGGATGCGTGAGGTGGCCGTCTGGAAGTGGTGTGACCTGTCCCAGTTCATAGTGTGAGTGCCCGCTGGGCCTGCCCCACCCCACGGGTCCTCCTCTGGGTCCACCCAGCCCTTACAGAGCCCTGGGAACAATACTCATGGCGGGCATCCTGGGCAGAAAGGTCTCGAAGACATGGATGGTCACAGCATGTGGCTACCCTCATCCTAGCTTTCCAGGCAAAGGCTTTTTTGGGGTGTCAGGAGGCTCCCCGGCCTCAGATCTGCTGGCAGGCAGAGGTGGGTGGCTGTGGAGTCTGGGCCTCTGAGACGAACGGGTAGGGCAGGCAGGGTTTGCCCCAGGCTGGCTGCCGAGGTGCCCTCAGGGCCTTGGCATGTGCAGCCACCCAGGAGCACCCCTGGGCCTGGACAAGGATTCCAGGCCCCTGTACTGCCAACTCTGTTCACCAAGGCTACTGGGGTGGACACAGGTGCATCTCACCTGTCTCAGAGGGGTTGGGGGCCCTGGGACCCTGCTGCCAGGTGGACAAGGAGGGCCCAGGTCCAGCTGCTGCATGTTCCTCCCTCTTCTGACCTTGGGGAATACAGCCCAAGGTAGTGTTCTGTGTGGGAAGCTCCATGCAGGAAGCACTTCATTCTGGGCCAGCCACTCCCTCCCAGGACATCACAGGAAGGAGGAAGTGGCCCCCTCGCCAGACCCAGGGGAAGCCAGCAGGGCCCCCCTGTGCTGTCCCTCATCTGCCCCTTGCGGAGCTGCTGGCTTTTGGCAGGTGTCCACCCGGCCTCCTGCAGAGCATCTTAGAAGGGCAGCTGCAGCTCCCCACAGACCCCAGGATAGGGAGGTCACTAGCTGCAGATGCTGGGCCAGCTGGCCCTTGGGAAACCCTTGTGGACATTGGGCTGAGCCGTGGATCTTGGTAGCTGGAACCCTTGGACAGCCCTTAGAACCATCCAGGCCTGTTCCTGGGCAGATGAAGCCAATCTTGGGGGGTCTGCTGAGATTACAAATGGGACCTCCCTCTAAAGGTTGGGCCAGGTGGGGCAGAGAGAGGCAACTTCCTGGCAGGAAGAGAGGCATCACTGGGGCTCCCACTCTGAGCCCTTCCCCACCTGGACCATGAGAACAGGCGACCTGGAAGGCTGGAAGGAGCCTGGCCTCAGACAGGCTTCCGCTCAGGTCCTCGGAGTGTCCCTTCGGTGGTGAGTGCCTGGTGAGGCCACGTGGCTGTGGCCAGGTCCCTGCAGATGCAAGGCTTGGCATGTCCACTTGGCAGGTGGTTCTGGGGGACTCGAGGTCAGGGCCAAGACCCGGCCCGGGGAGCTCCTTCCCTGAAGGTCATGGTCCAGACTGGGCGGGGACCCATGTGGCCGTGACTTCCAAGGCTGTGCTCTGTGGGGGCCAGGTGGGAGTGGCCCACAGTGTCTCCTGCCGGTCCTCTTGAGGCTTAGGGGTCAGCCTCTGCCTCCACAGGTTCTACGAGAGCTTCACCAACTGCACTGAGGAGGAGACCGTTGTCGTGGGCTGCTACTGGCCCAACCCGCTGGCCCAGGGCTTCATCACTGGTGTCCACCGGCAGTTCTTCTCCAATTGCTCGGTGGACAGGCCCCACTGGGAGGACCCCCCCGATGAGGTGCTCATCCCGCTGATTGCGGTGCCCGTCCTGCTGACCGTGGCCATGGCTGGCTTGGTGGTGTGGCGCAGCAAGCGGACGGACCAGATGCCATGACCGAGCCTGGCTTGCCGGAACAACGTCCCTGGGCCCTCGAGAGCTGTGGATGTCCTCGCTGTCCGTCCCACCCGGTCATGGCAGACTCCTTCCTGCCCAGGCCGGCACGGCCCCTAGAGGCAAGCTGGCTGGGGGCCCATGCTTGCTCTTAAGTTAGAGCTCGTGAGCCGAGCTTCATGTTGTTTGCTGCTGAGCGCTGCACTCCCTATGCTGGGTCCCTGGTCCCAACCATTTCACAGCAGAGTCTTGGCCCTGGCTCATGTCACCTCCTGCTGCAGCCCTGCCCACACCCCGGGGAGATGGACAGGCCTGGTGTGACCCACCAGTCTGCCTCACCCCTGGGCTGGAGTGGGGAAGCTGGCCATCCCAGGCCTCCCAGTGCCCTCTGGAGTCTGTGGTCCCGTGCTGTGCCTGCTCTGCCTGTCCCTCCTCCAAGTAAAGTGTCCAAACCTTTACTGCTCCTTGTTTTATTTCAGGGGAGTCAGAGTTCCTGCTGTCTGGGGGCTGATGAGTCTGTGGCACCCATGTGATAAACAGGGAGCCCTGGAGGCCCCAGAACCCCGAGATGTCAGCACTCAGGCTCAGAGAGCAGGGAGGTGCAGCCCTATGGGACAGGGCACTGCCCATCGTGGCCCCTTCCTGCTCCGCTGTTTTCCACTTCTGGCGCCTGGGATCTGTGGGACTCTTGACCAGTGGAGTTGGGGAGGCCCTGTCTGGGTTGGGTGGGGTGCAGAAGACGCTGGTCCTGCGACTGGGGGTGGGGAGCAGGGTGGAGCTCAGCGGTCTGGGGTCCTTCATCGCATTTGCTTCTGTTGAAAGCATTGTGAGGGTGGACAGGAGTCGGGGCTCCACGGGGCCAGCTCCGTGGCGGGGGCTCCCCTGACCTGCAGGGGGTGTGTGTATGGCCGCACCTCGGAGTGAGCCGCTCTGGGAATGGGTGGGGACCCATGTGGCCATGCGGGGCCCCTTCAGCCAGCACAGGCTTATGGGTGGGAGGGAAAGAGAAAGAAACGCTCATTGGGCATCAAGCTTGCCCAGGAGAAGTAATCACGCAGGAGTAGACAAAAGTCCACTCCTACTGCTCTTTGGATCCTTTTCCCACAGGTTTGCTCATTCATGTGTTTTCCCCAGGGTAGTAAGGGTGCAGGGCACACACGAGAAATGTGTATCATGTGTGTGTGTGTGTGTATGTGTGCCCGTGAGTGTCAGAGGCAGAGCTACATGAGGAGCTTTCTTGTCTCAAAATCTCTTCAATTTCGTCCTTAAGTTTTGTGTGGTTGGAGGGTGTCTTTGACAGCTTCACCCAACCAAGTTTTTTCACTGATGTGTTCACAGCTATGGGGACCACAGCAATTTGCAAGGCACAGCTTCATTCCAGGAGGCTCCCTCATGTGTCAGGGAGGCAGATACCCAGCCCCTAGAGCAGCATGCATGGTGAGAAGGCAGATACAGCAGTGGGTCTGTCTGGAAGGTTCACGGAGGAGGGCTTTTCAGTGGGGTCTTGAAGGGTGAGTAGGAGTTTTCCATCGCAGAAGGGCATCATGAGCAAAATCCCAGAGACTGCAAGGGTGTGGTGTGGGCAGAGGCTTTGCAGAAGTCATGTGACCCCTCCAGGACAGACAGCTTGAGACCCTGGGCGGGGGGCACCTGGGGTAGGTGTGGGAACTGTGAGGACTCAGACGTCCACCTGAGGAGAGCTTATGTGGGACCGAAGGAAATTCCTGCCCTGTCCTGTCTGAAGCAGGCTTCGGCCTCATGAGCGTGGGCCGAGGACGTGGACACCTGGCTAGTGACACTGCCTGGGGCCTGTATTACAGCCTCATTCTCTGTGCTGGTTAATTAAAGAAACGGAAGTTTTCCTTCGATGGAATTTTCTGCAGTTTTACAACTAAACCCAGGGGGTTAACAGAGCTTTAAGAGACCCCGGGATTTCTTCTGATGTATAGGAAGCAAAATCACAGAATATAAAGTGATGTAGAGAATCCACTTCTCACATGACGTGAAAAACTTCACAGACCACACCACCGTGACCGGTGCAAACGATCACAAAGAATAAATAAGTAAGCCATTCAAAGTCTCTGGAAATTGTCCCGCGGTCACACAGCCCAGGAAGAAACATTTATTAAAGAAAATGGGCAAATCTGCATAAAGACAGACTCTAGCACTTGAGCTGGGGCCCAGTGGTCTGGGAGTCAGGGGTTCCCTCCCCCAGTTCCCTGTCTCAGGTGTTTTGACAAGGTGACACCTCCAGCATGCTCAGCCCCAGCCGGTGGTGCAGAGGCCACAGTCCCCGAAGGAGTAAGGTGTCGGCTGTCTGCAGGCCCCTGAGAGGGAGGCGTCCTTTGTCCACCTGTGGCCTTGTCACTGCCTGATGATCACCAGACCGTGGGGGCGCCCTGACCCCCGCGATGCTATTACCACACAAGCTGGTCCTACTGGAGTTTGGGAGAAGGTTCCACAAAGAGCCAGAGCTGGGCAGAGCTGGGTGGACTGGAGGGTGCAGAAGGGCAGGGCTGGCTGGTGAGGGGTGGGAGACCGTGGGCGGCCGAGCTCTCTGGAGGGGTCTTGGAAGGAAGAACCAAGCCTGCTTTCCCACAGGTGGGGCACAGGCCAGGACTGTGAGCATCTTGACACCTCCATCCTCAGGACACGGAAGCCAGGGGAAGATGGTCACGGGGGAGAGGCCCGTCCCGCCTGGGCCTCCCAGCAGCTACCACTCAGCCGCACCGCCCAATGGGCCTTTCTGATTTCCTGTGTCCTCCCTGGGGCACTGCCAGGTGCCTCAGGCTGGATCAGCCTCTTCCCCAGCTGGCTTCTGCTGTCACGGATACAGCGAGACCTTTCCTTTCGGAGCAGGGTGGATGTCCCATCGGTCCCCTTAGCAGCCAGGACTGAGACTCCATGGCAAAGCTGCTGTCCCCAAAAGCAGGTAAGACCTGGTACTGACTGGGTGGCAAAAGTGGGGGCTGGATATTTACAAGGTCCCCTCCCTAGCTCCCAGTCTCAGGGTCTTGTCAAAGTGACGTTTCCGGGAGCCAGGGGACCTGTAGAGTGAAGCCAGAACACAGGAACATAGGGCTCCGCAGCCACAATTCACCCCGCAGAACATCTGATGTTCAAGGACATCCAGGGGTTTCCCCAGCAGTGACCAAGGAAGCGAGGTTAACAGGAGAGCTGGGTAGAAACAACTTCCTGTTCTTTTATTTAGAAATCAAATTCAGTTAAAGTAGGATTTGTTCAATTCAAATGTAGCCGCAAGAAATCAAGGCATGCAAGGTGACCAGTTAGAGCTGGAGGCAGAGGAAAGCCTCCTAGCGGGAAGGATTCCTGGAGGCTTCTGGCGTTAATCAAGGAACTGTCTTGGAAGATGGGGGAGAAGGCAGACAAGGGCCAGCCGTGCAGTCTGACCTCCCTGGTGCCATGCTGACCAGTTCCGCTGAGTGCCCCAAGGCAGCTGAGTTAGGGAGCTGGGCCTGGGCTACGGCAGCGCCTGGTCTTACGGATTGGTGAGAGGCCGGAGTGACGCTGGGACCCCGGCTCTCCGTCCCCTCTTAGGTGACACCCTCTTTGTTCCTGGCCTTCCCCATGGCTACCTCATCTGGCAGAGCTGACAGGTTGGCAGGGGCACGTGGGGCACAGTTGTGCTTGTCATCGATTAGACTTCCTACTTCTGCTTATCTCTGACCCTGGATATGATAGGACATGGAACACAGTGTTACAAGTCCCTAGTGTTACAGCTGCTTAGTTCAAAGCCTGCTCTGGCTGCACGACATGGGATACTCAAGAAACAAACACGCACTTCCTCCAGGGTGTGGAAGCCATCATACACCAACATCATACACCTGACAAACAGCAGGGGAGCTGCTTATATAGAGCAGCAGCAGGCCTGTGATTGGCTCAAATTTGAGCCTGTTGATTGGCCCAGTTCAAGATGGAGGCCATTAATTGGCCCAAATTTGAGCCTGCTGATTAGTCCAAATTCGTTCAAAGTCAAGCCTGTTGCTTGGTACAAATTCAGGCCAGCTTTGGTCAGGGCAGACATCTACAGGTATGGGAGTCCAGGAGTGTGCTTTTGTAGCTGCAGACCATGTCCCCTTCTGGCTGTCAGCAGGAAAAGGGACCGGTTGGGCTGTTTCTGATCTCAGTGGTACTGACACGATTGTGCACTTTGCCTTTGATGTTGTGTTCCTAGTCCAGGCTAGTTTTCCTCCTCCTTTTGCAGTGCTGGGGATCAAACCCAGGGCCTTTACCACTGAGCCCCATGGCCCCACTCCAGGGTATTTCTGCTGGAATCTCCTGTGTCCCTCCTGAGAGCTGGGCCCTGCCAGGAGCTTCTCAAGTCCTGGGCCTTGCCTCTGACTGAGCTAGCCCAGCTCTGCCCTCCTCCCACACTCTGCCTGCTCCAGCCCTTCTGCTCTACCCGGGGTCCTCAAGGATTTGCTTGGAGCCAAACTAGCAAACACCGATAGCTCCACCTGGAGAGAGAGCTGCTGCTCCAGCTTAGGGATCGATGCTCCATTTGTTTTTGTTTCTAAGCATTTTGTGTATAAACTCAGAAGGCCATGAAAGGGCCTCTGTGCTGCAGCTGCTGCGATTCTTGGAGGGGAACAATGAGGACGGGATACAGAGACATTGCTCTGACAGTGAGGTCACAATGAGAAGCGTTCTGCAAAGCCTCTGTCGCAGGATTGATTTGCTTTAGGAGCAGTATCCGGATTTTAGCAGCTGTTAGGTATGAGCATTAAGACTTTGGGGAAGTAGATGCCTTTTCAGTTACTGAGCCCCGATTAAGCAGTGTGGGGAACCATGGGGCCTCCTGTTGCTCTTGAAGCCCCACCAGGGAGCCTCAGGGACAGAAGCGGCCAGTCCAGGAGAGGTAACATTGTCCGGAGGCCTGGGTTAGGCCTGCTCCGTGCTCTTGAGCCTGCGGAGGATGAGGTGTTCCAGCCTCGGGTGGTAGAGGGACCGGAAGTTGACAGAAAAGCACCTGTGCTGCCGAGACTTGAGGAGACACAGCCAGTTCAGTCCTGGGAGATCGGAGCCGACCTTGTTCAGAAATCAAGAGATCAGCTACAGGCACACAAGGAAGTAGGAATATACACGTTATAAATGATAGGTAACAGTTATGTATCTTGTCTGCAGAGAAATATTTATTCTTTTTGGATAGGCGTGGGAAATTGGCAAGAATGGAAGCGATGCTGGCTGCATTCCTGAATTAAAAGGCAAAAGAGCCAGGCACAAAGGCACAGGCCTGCAGTCCTAGCACTCTGGGGCGCTGAGGCAAGGAGGTGGCACATTCAAGGCCAGCCTGGGCAACCTAGCAATTTAGTGAGGACTTGTACCAAAATTAGAAATTAAAAAAAAAAGGGCTGGAACATAGCTCAGTGTGAAGGCTCTGGATTCAATTCCTAGTAACTTTTCTCCCTCCCATGTGTAAAACGCAGAAGAGAAAAAT